CAACTGAAATATGTAAGTCACCAATATCGAGACCCGAAATAACAACCGTTTCAACCCATGTAACGTGTGTAAGAAAAACAACAACAGAACGGTTCATCCTGGATGCCGCTATGATGTTATTTGCCCCAACAATATCACAAACGGCTTCTACATATGTTTCAACAGGAATGCCGTCAATATTCTCACACCTTATGGCATGGTTCCTGGTGAGTTTACATTTGGTGACGATGAAGGCCTCTTCTCAGCGGCCGCCATATTGGTCGCCGGAATCTTACCACCGTCGAGGCAGAAAACGCCTCCAAAAACCACAATAATAACAAAAAACAACAAATATAAATTACTCACGTAAAGGGTAGACACACTATATACAACTGTGTAAAAACACGGGCGCACAACGAACGCAAAAAACGCAAAACAGGCAGAAAATCGGGGAGCGCTGAAAAGCACCGCGTTCACCCGATTGTATTGTATTGTATTGTTTTATTGGCCAAAAGCGATCAACTGATTTTTCGGTAAATTTTAATATTGATGTCATCTGATGTCATTTTGTGTATTATTGGCCTCTTATTCCATAACACCTGGGACACTTAGATTGTTACAGACGATAAAAAAAGATGGGTACCACTTTTGATTTCGTTTCTTCACTAGGCTCTTTAATTTCAACTTAGAAAGTCGGCGTTTAGACTCTCAGTTTTATCTCCCTTGCCGCCTCATTGCTGCTTTTCGAGATAATAAAACAGTTATAGTCCTTGGTTCCCGGTCAATATGCAGATTACACGTATCGTCCCATAATAGCAGCAAATTCGTCATGGCAGTTTTAGATACTATAGTACAATGTCTATTCTAATCATATTCATAATTGTAAGTATGAACATTTTGATCCACACTAAGGACACATGCATCTTTGACAAACAACGGTGGTGCAGAACCGTACTGTATTATTCCGTTACCCAATTAGATGTATGATGTGTTCATAGTTATTCAGTGAACTTTATAAAAGGATACGGCAATGTAATCTGTATTTTAAAAGTCCCTCCTGTAAAGTAAAACAAACTACATTAAGATATATCAACAAGACACTTTGTATGTTAGATTCAGTTGTATAACAATACGCTTCACGTAAAATAATGACTTTCAAGATCTTATTACAATGTCTTTCAATTGATTGGTTTTCAGTCAGAACCAGATCATACCTTCATATAAGGATCATGCAGGTCCTTTGAATTCTGCATTCCATACATGCAAATTGTCATCCGGTAGATAGACAGTTATGCCAAAAGGTGGTGACCTTTGTACTGCGGTCAACTCTTTCTTCAATCTGTAAAACAATTGTGTAACAAATTGTGTAACAAATCTGTAAAACAATTGTCATATGATTTAGCTCTGAAGCAGTTACTATGCCTACATTTAACTATGTATACACAATCGACGGGTTTCACATAGCCACACCCCATACACCCATGTGCGGTTTAGTCTGTAATCTACATAATTGGTATACCATTTCCCTAATAAATGCCGTGTCACCCAACAAATGGGCAGTGAGGTGTCAGTGACCTTTCATCATCATAGTCAGGGAATCGGTGGAAAGATGAAAGAGCCCAGCAAATGTAAAAGAAAATGCAATTTACAGTTTTATTATATCACTTTTCATTCACTAGATATTCAACTTTTCATCAGTTTATGTAGTCCACCATCTTGATTTTTCAGCAAAAGATTGTGGGTGATGGTATGACATCATATCCACTGTTGTGAGAAATTGAGAAAATATTTCATCTATAACTTCAAAGTTGAACTTGAAGTTGACTTTTTCCTTTAATTCCGTAAGCTATCATTCCTTTTATATACCCGGAGCCGCGGACTTGACCATGGCATATTGGTCGCAACTGACTATTATTGAAATCATTATATGTTGTATTAGCCATTCACTAACTAATTGTGATTATCCAAAATGTTTTACAAATGTCATTTAAAATGTATGTATAGTTGACGTATGTTATTTTACACCGAATTTTAAAAGTGTTAAAGCGGTTGTAATATTCTTATACATGATGTGACTCATTTCTTGGCCACACTCACTTCGTGACGTTGGGGGCAGTATACGGAAAATGGAATAATAAACCGCCTCGCCCATACACCCATGGAGGCTGCTTAACTGACGGTGAATTCCACTTCGTGCTCGCACTAGGGGATTCACTGTCAGTTAACAAGCCAATGTAACCTCGGCAACGGCGGCATATAGAGTGGAAATCTATCCCTGTAACGCAATTAATACATTATGTTAAAAATGAGTGGTGCCTTATTTTCTAAAGCTTGACTTTTTTTTTAAATTACGCAAGTAGGCTGGAAAATCATTTTTTTTATGATTGGTCAGTTATACTCATTTTAATGTTACAAACATTTTGAAGTATTTACTTTGTTTACCTCATTTACTTTGTTTAGTACGCACAGTACTATCGGCACGACAACCCCATTTCATTCTTTTTCGAATTGAAATTACGTGATTATTGTTACATGTTTTTTATAAACGTTTAGTGTAATACTGTACTATAATAACGACACAAATACAAGTCATTATATACTTACCTACTGGCTAACTGCTTTTTAAAATTCATATCGACACAGATCGGGTCGTAATATTGAGAGAACCTGTCTCATATGCGAAGACACGCCAGAATATATCGATCGTCAACTGAACCTTCTGCGTGGCGCTACACTGTTCGTGACCTTTATGTAGATACAAGGTTTCGTCTTTTGTTTACAAAGAACCATGTTAAACTCTAGCACAGTGTTAGAATGCATTGACCGTGACTTTCCAGGGTATTCCAGTGACGTAATATAATATAATAATAATAATAATAAATATGAAACAATCTTACGCAAATCTCTTTCTGACACTCCAGCATATCACGCCCGCATAATTTGGCTGCGTACTTATCGCGATCGACCCATCCTGAAATGCGAAGACCACAATAATATCATACTCACGTTTAGCAGGTTTATGTTTATACAACAATCGCTTGTAATACTGAGAATAGACTAGAAAATACGGAGAACAAAAACAATGTCTGCAAAACGAAACTCACAATTGCCGTCACGTGAAGTTACTCACCAGTTCTAAAGAAGCCTGCTATAATTAGAAAGGGGGATTTTCATGACGCCGTGACCTGATCACTATTATCGTTTATCAGTAAATATTCCTACCGTGGTCCAGGCTGATAACCTGCTCAGAGAATAGATGCTATAATTAAAAAGGGGATTTTCATGACGCCGTGGCCTGATCACTAATATCGTTTATCAGTAAATATTCCTACTGTGGTCCAGGCTGATAACCTGCTCAGAGAATAGATGCTATAATTAAAAAGGAGATTTTCATGACGCTTGGGTCTGATCACTAATATCGTTTATCAGTAAATATTCCTACTGTGGTCCAGGCTGATAACCTGCTCAGAGAATAGATGCTATAATTAAAAAGGAGATTTTCATGACGCTTGGGTCTGATCACTAATATCGTTTATCAGTAAATATTCCTACTGTGGTCCAGGCTGATAACCTGCTCAGAGAATAGATGCTATAATTAAAAAGGGGATTTTCATGACGCCTGGGTCTGATCACTAATATCACTTATAAGTAAATATCCATATCGTGGGCTAGGCTGATAACCTTCGACTCACTCGGCCAGCCCAAACTTAATCGTACGCACAATAATAATGTATGTATCAAGAGCCCGGGAGTAAATCGGCTGGGAAATTCCCCCCAATAGGTGAAATGCAGGGCTACAACAAACTGACTGAAGATAACCATGTCGAATAACACGTTTCAGCTATTTGTAAAAGGACTTCAGGGTAAAACATCTGTGATTGCCATTCATAAGGTATGTTTCATGGTTTCCCTGCATGTTCACCATGGTATCTATACCCACGAGTGTTGATATCAATCAGTGCTACTCGTATTATGCTATAACATCCAATGTGTCCCTTCTGCTGAAAGTATTTGACTTTGATGTAAATGTTCGTTACGGGCAAATATCATCACAGACTACTATTGAGTACAGACTGCCATTCTGTTGTGTTAATCTGTGACAGAACGTCAAGTGATTGTCACTTTATATAAGACATTTACACATTTTACAGTGAGTCACAGAAAGCTGTTCCTTAGTTTTTAAACATAGTTATGACAATTTGTAAATACCGATCATCAGCTTTCATTCAAATGTTTTATTATGATTGGCTCGAGAGCTCCACATTGTCTGCATGCACAATGTGTGCACAATTGGTCAAGTAACATAGCAACTGTGATCGTCCACTCAAAATTATGGGCTTGTCGATTGGATGACGTTGAACTGACTCGTTAATATTGATAAGAGCTCCCGATGACATCACCATGTCTTTTCTGGATTCGTCAATATGAATTTTACTAGTTATGATTAATAAAAAATATATATTTATGAAACGTTTATAACATCCCTAGCCTGCTTTTCAATATAAATGATATGAAATGTTCAACATTATATAATGTTCGTTTTGCACCAAGGTGTACACGGGCTGTGGAGAACATGGACAGTTTAGCTCTTAGTTTCGCTGCAGTTCGTTTTTCTGTCGTTGATTGGTTATTTTGTCCATCATAGTGTGATTTCACGATCTTAATAAAAATAGATCTAACGTAATAGTACCGGAATTGGAAGATAATTCTTCACATTATTATATACAACAGCGTGTATAGAGATTATGGCCGCTCTTGAGACAGGGTCACAATCGATTAGATTTGTTGATAGATTAAATCCGGTTGCCATGGAGACACAATTTTTGTTTTGCGTTTCTCGAAAGTATTAGTAGTTACCCCATGCCAAAGAACAATCTTCGATTTTTAGAGAAATATGGGCCCGGTTGGCATGGAAACAAAATGTGTTTGTTTGTTAGCAAGATAACTCAACAGTATTGTACTAATTTAGGTGGTCTGGATTCGGTTACCATGGAGACATGATTGTGCTATGTGTTCGACCACGTGCAGAGTCTTATTTATTTATTTTATTATTTATTTTTAATTGCTTTCATTTTTCCACTTTTAATTTAATATATTATGTTTTAGAATCTTTGGAATAACAAGTTAATTTTCCGTTAACAGGATGCAAAAGTGGACGACCTTTTGAGAAAGATTAGTGAACTGAATAGTATTCCAGTTGAAGTACAGCGAGTTTTGTATGCCGGTAAACAGCTCGAGTACGGAAAGGGCAAACGACTGACTGACTATAACATTGAAAACAACTCTAACTTGTTCGTCGTTTTGCGTCTAAAGGGCGGGTCTGAGGATGAACCAAAGGAGCTTGATGATAGTGTAGAGCTGACAGATGCGCCCGATATGATTACATGGGATAATGATCCCGACAACAAGAGAGCGAAGATGCCTTGTGGCCATGCCATCGGGCCCGAGTCGCTAACAGCCTATTGTAGAAGCTTACTAACTGCTGGTAAATTTATATTTCGCTGCCTATACATAAGTCCTGATAGCGTGTACTGTGGTAAAGAGTGGGCATATGTAGACATCCGGCGACTAGCAGTGCTTACACCCAGCGAAAAAGAAGAGTTCGAGACCAAGATATCCAGCAATTACCTTCGAAGAGCTCAGGGCATTCAAGAATGTTCAAAGTGCAAATCCCTATGCGAGAGAGAAGATGTGAAGAATCGACGCGTGGTGTGCGTTTTATGTGGTGCAAAGGGAATCAAGTTTGAATTCTGTTGGTATTGCTTGCATGAATGGAAGGATGTCTCCAGTCTCGTTGTCTGTGGCAACAGCAGCTGCAGTGGTGAAGACCCACGTTTAAAGATTCTTCGCGAATGCCCCAAGAAATGCATTGTTGGCGTAACACAATGTCCATCTCGTCGTGCCTGCCCAAGCTGTGGAATGTTGATTGAGCACGAGACGGCATGTAAGCATATGGTGTGCCCATGTGGCCAGAAGTTCTGCTTCATCTGTTTGACGAAACCTAATTCAAGTGGTAGTTATCAGTGTGGTACCTACAATAGTAAATGCAGTGTTGCTGAAATCCAAACCAAAGTTCCCGGCATGCAGTAGTATCGTACACAATAATATACACAAAATTTAATATTTATGGATTATTTTGTTTGTAGATTGTTTGTTTTTTTCTGGAAATTTCTAATATTGTAAGAATCAAAAAACACATTTGTTAACACTATGACCAAATCACTAAGTGTCCAGTTATATACTAAACGATTTTCTAATTATGATATGTGTTGCCGCCCTATTTTTCCGATGTCATCGTTCACAATTTGTATTGTGAACATACCATATAACTTGATTATTGTTTAAACTATATTATCAATTGTGCATAAGTGAACAATTTTACATTATTTGTGTAGTGTAAACGAAGGGTAAGGTATAGTAAGCAGAAGCTTGAAGCTTTTGGCGACGTTGTTGTCAACGTTGTTGTTGACTTTTGAATTGTGGACGCGATAACTTC